ACACTAGTCACTAAAACTCCGCTATTGCAATTTTCTGATATCACCTGAGGTCCATAGATTAGTTTACGTCCGATCATGGCCACCTAGATGCAATTTTAAAAGTGACTCTGAAAAAATCAAGTAGGCTGAAAAACTTCCGGAAATGTCAGTTTCTGATCCAGAATTGTCTCAGAAATCCAAAAATGTTACAATATACAGGGTGTTCCATTTAAAAATTCAGAACCGGAGCCATTTCCGCTGAAACCGGAAGTGTCCGGAAAGTGAAAAATATGTGAAAACATTCCTCTCCACATACCATTCAACTATACCAAATCTCATTTCAATTCTCCTAATAGTCTAGAAATTATGACTTGTCTAATAGATTCGTTGACACCCGGTAGATGAATACTTATAACAATGCAGGCACAAAAACAACAAAAAATTCACGCAGTTTCCAATATAGAACCATCTACATCACAATTATTTGTTTGTTATCTTATCTGGACTTATCTATTACCAATATTTCGAGCCTTAGATAGGAAATTATATTTATCATTTACGGTCAATTAATATCTGACATCAAAAATACGAATGAGGAAGCTTCATTATTGAAATCATTAGTACAGAATTTCGTAATTATTTCTAGCGAACATTACCGATAACAACTATGGAAACGTCAAAGACTTTTTCATCATGATTGGTGAAATGTTTTCCTTACTTGCAAAACATTTCATTTTTTGAATTAACAGGTGTATATTTTCAGAAGAGATTAATTGTCTGGTAAGGTTTTGGCTTTCTACTTTTCCATCTTCATACAAAAAAAAATTGTGGGAACCTTCCTTGATTGATCCATAAATTTTCGTATAGAATTAATTTTTTAAATTGATTGCTATGAAAGCAAGAAAGGATGGACCTTTCTTTGGAGAATTCCCACTTTTTTGTATAAATTTCTTTATTTTTATTATTTTTAAAAAATTCAACATGCCATTCATTTTAATTTTAGTTGTTTTTCCGTAGATTTCCGTCCAAACCTGTAACATTTACCAATAACTTTGTCAACCACTTTCGAACAAAACAGAAACGCAATTCAGAATTAATATAATTTTTGGCAGAGATTTTTATAAAACGCAAAAGCTAGAGATAAAATAAAACAAATAACCATTTTATCTGATATAACATATCAGTTACTTACTTGGCATCATCATCTCCAAGTCCAAGGTCGTAGACTCTAGTAGCTCCCAATTCTTCGAGTCTTTTGTCCACATTTATAGCAACTTTATTATAATGTTCATAAGTTTTATTTCCGAGGCCGAAAACCTAAAAAGAAAAAAGATTTTCTGAATATACGTGACTTTGACGGACTTTCAGTCGTAATTTTAAAATTACAGAATTAGTCTACGTGACAAAATACAAGGCACTATCTTTGTTTTGTTCTATTATATTCATGATTTGGTTTTGAGTTTGATTTGAGTTTTATATCAAAAGTGGGGAGCCCAATAAAATAGTGAATAATGAGAACACACCTTTGCTAATAGTGGAATGTAATGTTCGAATATGCCTCTCGAAAATTAAGAAAGTTTAGCACTTATTAAAACTTTTCGACCGATATACTTCATTACCATACATAAATTCCAATGTGCCACACTTTTTTTTTTAAAAATAACAATTTTTATATCGGGTGGAAATGGTTTCTGTCTTTCTACTTCTCCATGTTTCATTTCCAAAAATCAATTTCTCCTATAAATTTACCCTCACAGTATATTCGGAAATTTTGAAAATCCAATATTAAGATTTATTAAATGTACAGTGTGTTATGCACCCAAGTTTTATGGTTGAAACAGAAAACTAAAAAATTTAAAGGGGTATATTTTTAGGAGAGATACGTTTTTGGGATGAAAGATTTTTGGCTTTCACTTTAACTTTATACAAAAAAATGTATGAAGAAATCTCTTTTCCTGAAAATGTATACTTCAAGAAATTGTGGAATTTGTGTAAATGTTTAGTTATGATTCTTACGATAATTGCAAAATTGCAATATTAAGTTTAATCGTACAACTCGTTTTATAGATCTATATTTTGAAATTGCTTTCATCATAGACAAGTGGGTTCCTTTCTGAAGGCGGAACTTGCTATCATTTGTTCCTGTTTTCGGCTGGACTTTGGTGACTTATCCTCGGCAGTGTTTGGGATCAACTCTCGCGTTTCCTCTAGAATATTTTGGGCTCTCAAAGTTGTTGAACAATTTTGCCAGTTCTGTTCTTAGATCAGGGTCATCTTCAGTTAATTGGTGTACCATTTTAATTTTGTATGGATACCTATTCCTCTTCAAAAGTCTCCACACAGTAGAAGGAGACATCTCACAAACATTCGCGACGGAATAAGTAGACTGTTCAGGTTTTACCACCATCTCACCAATTATTTGCACTTGTTGTTTTCCTCAAATATTTTCTATAGATAGGACTATTCGGAGAACGTTCATTGAAAATCCTTTCGGTCTCGTGAAAGTTACGCGTCGCACCGTAAATAAAAAACGCTTCAATTTTTTCTTCCAATGGACGAGAATTGACCATTTTAGAGATTGTTGACGTGGTACCTTTCTACTAGTGAAACCGAAAACTAAATGAGAATAGTCTAACTGAACAATGATGTTCATTGTCATACTGACATTTTTTGTCGTTTTTATAAACAAAAAATAACTTAACAAACCTTATCGGGTTGTTGAAATTGCTATATGGCAGATAAAAAGGAATATTTCTAGAAATATCGATATTAATGTGTTTGTTTTCAGTAAATAATTAAATGTTCCGTCATTTTGTAGTAGGTGAAGATGGCGCCAGTCGCCATCTTGAAAGTTTCATATGTCTATTTCACTTCAGAATAAAGTATTCATGCATTAATTTCATTATACCAAATTTCAATTTTTTGAATTGACCCGTTCAAAAAATAAAAGGGGGGGACATAAAAGAAATGCACTATATAAGCTTTTCTCTTGAATCAATCACTCTATCTATTATAAAAACCCGCATCAAAATCCGTTGCGGAGTTTTAAAGTTCTAAGCATACATTGGGACAGACAAGGAAAAGCGACTTTGTTTTATACTATGTAGTGATTACTGTGATATGTGTGTGTATCACTTTTTCAAGAATCTGAAAAATTGAAAAATTGGATGAATATAGTCACAAACTGCTACTTACAATTTTATTGAATCTTACTAATCTGAGTACGTAATACATTTGCGATGTGCTATTTGTAGTTTTTGAGTTCGTTGCAATACTGAGGAACGTGACTTGATAAGAAGTATTCAATTTTGTATTGACCGCTATTTTTTGGTGAGGCGAAATAATGTCACAATTTTCTTGTTTGATGACTAAGAAAGTGAAGGTCGAAAGTGAGTGGAGCTATTCGACCCTCCACCGCAACCCGCGAAGGTTTATTGTGGCTCACACCTATCCACACTCGACCAAATAAACCCAGCTTCTTAACGAAGCCGATTAGTTTGTATGGTGAGTGGTCTTTCAGGTCAGATGGTAAGAGTACGGTACTGCCAATCTCTGAACACCTGATTCGGTCCCCAGCGGGGCAGGCACAGAGTATGTGCTGTGATGTTTCATCTTTTGCCAAATATAGGCGACACACACTGTCTGCATATGATGATTCAGATGACAGTGACCTGTGAGAAAGCCTGTTACGACATCGCAAATCATCCCTACTGTAGTTCAACAATTGTTTCAAGCTTCGAAGGGTGAATAAACGTCTTGGAGTGAGCCAATCATGGAGGATTCTGCCAGAAGTCCATAAACCTTCTTGCCATTCAGGTGTTCAATGTTTGTATGACAAAGTCTAAAGCGATGCCAATGATAGGTTCTGGTCCGATGAAGCTGCTTGTAGCAACCTTCTTTGCAATGGAATCAACAGCCCTAATTGCCTTCCAGACCAGTATGGCCAGAAATCCAGGCCCGAGACATTGTAGTAAGTTGAATATAAGAGTCACCAATAATTTACACAAGATGAAAATTTTGTGCATATATTTCAATTTCATCATTGAATTTTTTAGAGCATTTACAGTTTTTGTGAGCATGAAGTATTAAATATTGTTTGAAACAATAAAAATATTACAAAACATATCGTAAAAAAATAGCCGAAATGAAGTCTTGAACGATATAAACCATATGGAATTGAATATATTATTATTTTATTAAAAAATAACTATACAGAACAATATCGAATTATATGTACGAACATAAAAGCAATTTTATTAAGATGACCATGAAGAAAATACAAGAGATAACGTGAAAATACTTATGCTTCATTAACCAACGATATCGTTTTCACTAAATTATTGAAAATACTTTTTCACTATTTTAGAAATTCTATAAACTTCAATGTACATTTACCTCTGATTAAACGCTTACGACATGAAGAAAATTGCAATTTTCATTTTGAAACATATTTGTGGTTAACGTCATCACAGAATTTTAATAGGTCAAATGCTGACCTTTTATAATATTTTTTTTTCAATTATAATAATTACTTATGAAGTTCTCATGAACTGTAATAGATGAAATGAAAATACTGTAAGTATAATATAACCCTGAAAAATAATCTCTGAAAATAGAAACTACAGATGTTCATTCTTTATCTTAAAAAATCTCTTCTAGTTTGTACGTTTCACAATATGATATTATGTAATGTTACGTTGATTACACATGATTATTTAACTGTTCGTGTCAATTAATTAATTATTCTAGTGAAAGAATATTCAGTGCGGAAGTAAAAATTCCCTGCTCTTAAATTTTGAATGGGACAAGACACCAAGGTTTGACAAAATGCAGTTAAGAAGACATCATTTTTACATGAGAAAGACAATAGTAATGCATCACCAAGGAGATGCTACAACTTTTCCATTCAAATAGAAAGAGTCTTCTAATACCTAGTATTTCAATTCTTTATAGATACACTATTTCCAATTTGGAAATCGGAACAACCGTTTCTGAGTAATTAGCAGTTTTATATTCATTTCAGAATCTGGAAACGATAAATATAAAAACTTAAAGAGACAAACTCACCCCAGTTCTTTACGATAAATATTCATTATTTTCACTATTCACTTCCTGACAATAATGATGTCTGTTTACAAATTAATTTCTTATATTGCGAAATATCTATCTCTCGAGTAATTTCATATCTACGAGCTTTGAAATGAACAACGGTTGGGTATCGTACTAGTACACTTTATATAGTTCACGTACTCCTTCAAAAACATTCAGCGACGTCATGAGGTACCTCCACATTGCTACAGGGTAGTTCCAAACCGTTGGAACAGCAACCGTGGTTTCTTAGATGGCCTACTAGATCACCTGTTATGGCGCCCTCAGACTTTTATTCACATCTTGGTTTGTCACTATATCTGCTATGAGGTATTCAGGTGTTAAGCGGGTATGTCCCAGTCGCAAACGAGTCAGGATAACTTGGTGTCTTCTGTTTTTGGGGATATTTTTCCATGGGAGTACTGATGTTTTACTTCTGCTAGCTTAGAGGTGGAATTGTACCACTGATCTTTCACGTATAGTCAGTGGGCATACTTGAAGACTGGCTATAAATCAAATCATCTAAAGGAACAATTCGTTCAGGCCAGTCTCAACACCCTACACAGTAGGTTAATGGACTGACACCTATCAGAAAACAACTACTCCCCTGGCTAATACCACGAAGGGCGTTGGATTATATCCGACAGGTGTCAGTGCAGGATTCTTCACAGAAGTTATTCCTGCATATGCTGTTGGCAATACAACTGCCGCAATAGATTTTCAATTATTGGAACACACTTGCAGACCGGTTTCGGGCTGTTTGGCCACTCGTCAGTGCAAGGTAGTGTATATCATCAACATAAAGTCGATGATTTCCGATAATTGAAAATCGAATTCCGTCAGAGTATCATTCCTCGAACTAAGCTGAAGACTACAACAAACAACAGGTTTGTCGTCGCTCCATCTGCCTGTGAACGAGGTAACCAACTGCATATCCAAATTTGCCCAATTCCTCGTAAAAGGAAAAAAATCTTTCACGTATAGTCAGTGGGCATACTTGAAGACTGGCTATAAATCAAATCATCTAAAGGAACAATTCGTTCAGTTGTATTGCGGCAGTTGTATTGCCAACAGCATATGCAGGAATAACTTCTGTGAAGAATCCTGCACTGACACCTGTCGGATATAATCCAACGCCCTTCGTGGTATTAGCCAGGGGAGTAGTTGTTTTCTGATAGGTGTCAGTCCATTAACCTACTGTGTAGGGTGTTGAGACTGGCCTGAACGAA